ATAGAACTGTGACTTTTACACAACTTTGTGTGAGTTAGAAAACTTCTGTGACCTGGAAAAGTTCCTCTTTTCTTTTATCTCACTAAAATCCAGACAGGTCAAACAGTCTTGTTTTCACTAATGTCATAGATAAGTGGTCAGAAAATGTGAATGAGATTCTGAGTGTTCTCTGTCTACAAAACATCTCTCTAGTTCCAGTGATACTGCAAAAGTTGATACCAGGTGGGGAGCTGTACTTCTCTAGATTCTTCTGTATTTGTTAAACAGTTGGTTACCTTGACTATTTCAGTGTCTACACTGAGCTGGTTCGCTGCAGCTGTGATCTTTTCCCTGCAGACTGAGCCCAGACTGGTCATGCCTCGATCCCAGTAGCGCTTCAGTTGGATAAGATCCCCATCGCTGAACTGGGTCCTATCCTGCAGCTGAAAACAGACATGTCTGTCTGAATACACAACATGCCCACTGGTCAAAGGCAGACTCTCAGTGCGTAAGTGTAACACAACTCTAGTTTAATTGAGACAGTAGCATAAGTGTGTGTCAAGTTCACATGTTTTTTATCCTTGTTTAGATGTTTAAATGCTATATTAAGGCTGAAAGAAAAGGCCTTACTGTTCTCTTTCTGGAGTTGCTGATAACCCAGGGTGCAGCAGACATATCGACTGAAGTCTGCACACATAGACACACACAATCAGGTTAAGCCTTCCAATTCACTTCAAAAGAAAGCAGCAATGACACTAGCTCACCTACCTGTGAGCTGGATTCCCCTGTAAGTGAGGTCTGTGCTGTGAGGGAGTAGCTGCCCTGAAGAGTTGTGTTGCTGTGAAGTAGTGTGGGTCTGGAGTTAGTCATAGGTGGTGTGTGGCTTCCTCTAGCCACAGGCACATCAGCCCTGGTTGGGCTAGCTAACACCTGCTCCCTGTGGATGAGAGTCTGAGCGGCCATATTTGCCAACTGCTCTTCCCTTTGCCACTCATCTTCTTCATCTCCAGTTTCCATGGCGATGGAAAAGTTATGACTGGTGTCCAGAGGATGAGGGGCCAGCCTATGACTCTGCTGTCCTTTCTGAGTAGACAGTGATCCAGGTCTAAGTCGGTCCCTCTCACCCTTTTCGGACAATGTGAAGACCTGCTGGGTGCGAGGTGTCTGTTCAGAGGAAGGAACAGAGTTTTGGACTGGGAGGGAGACCCGTGTCTTATGCAT